TCCTTCAATCACGGAGTATATGGAGGGTGTCAGGATCAGTGCGGACAGAAGTCAAGTTTATTCCAGCAAATGTGGAGGTTACTTTGTTCACTGCTGATGCAACCACCACCATCAGATCATTTGTGATCTGATGGCTGGGAAGCACTCTGCCGTGATTTTCGGTGGGAGGTCTCTGTTTCTTTTTTTTTTTTTTTGCGTTTCTCCTGTTTTCTCAGCCCAGAAATTCGTAATGAACCTGTAGGGCCGCTGCCACTCAGTGTCACACTGGATCGGCCACACTCCTATCCGACTGCTAATGGGACCTCGCCCCAGTAGAGGAAATCTTTCTTCTTTTTTTTTTTTTTTTAGTAGAGGAAATATAAAGGGTAAGGTATTGATTATGCTGTATGTTTGTTTGTTTGTTTGTTTGTTTGTTTGTTTGTTTGTTTGTTTTTTTTTTTTTTTTTTTTTTTTTTTAAATATAACATCAGAGTCGGCACTAGCTGTGGTGATAAGAGCACCCACAGCTAGTGGAATCATCAAATGGCTCCATTCTATTTGTGGGGAGCTGCACATGCTGGAAACCGGGTCCAGCGTCCCCCATTTCAAAGTGAATTCCTAGAGCCAAATATCAGTAACGGACCTCTTCACCCTTGGCTAGGGCKCCAGATAAGCACCTTGAAGCTCTGGTCCCTCGACTATACCTATCTACTCATCCATCTGTAGCAAGGCCAACTATTCAGGCATCACTGTACTTCTCAGGCATCACTGTACTTCTCGGGTCGGCCAGCCTTACTCCCTCTTGAACTGGGGGGATCAGCTGAGGCTCTTCACGTGATGGACAGAAGGCGGACTTGACCAAGAGGTGGAAATTCCAGAGATTCATGGTGGTCTAGGCCCCAGCAGCCATGGGGTTAAGGAAATGCCTCCGTCCGCTTTCCTGCTTGCCAATCTACCCTCTATGCCCCATGTGCTAAAGAACCACTTGTGCCTAGCCCTGCTTTTCCGACTCCTGTTCCAGTCTGCCCATATCATTTTTCTAACATGGTCAAGTATCCACTGCAGCGTGGTCGCATCTGAGTAAAACTTCCTTTTAAACAGTCTATCATTTCTAAGTTTCCAGATAACGTTCATGATGGCAGCTCTCGCTGCCATGGCTACAAAGCCCCAACCTTTTCGGTGTGACACTTTTGGTGGAAGGAGGCCATCCAGGACRAAGCTCTCATCCCATTCAATTTTGCATTTAGAGAAGCAGGACCAGTGATAACTCCACCATTTCCAAATCCTGCGYGACTCTATACAACCCCACCACAAATKCGCCACCGACTCTTGTTCTTTACCACASCGGGCGCAYTTAGTTTCCACTGGCATATTTCTTTCGGCTAGCCATTCTGCTGTAGGGATGGCTMTATGAGACTGAAGCCATGATAAGCTGGCCAACTTGACTGAAGGGATTTTTTGGATGGACTCMSAGAGTCTGAWTAGATCCGAGGAGAGAACCTGGCGKCTAGCATCCCCAGTTGACTGCTTTTCCGCGTTCCACTTGCTTTTGGTCACTAAAGGGGTAATCCAGCTCTGGACCTGCTTGTTATAGCCTACCTTCGGTGTATAGTCCAGCAGCGTGACATTACCACGAGCCTYGTGGGACGACCACCCCCAGTGCAGCGGCAGAGTCCYCATCMTGCTGATCGGAGTGTCCCCCAGTGGACACAGAAACCTCGTCCCGTAATTCCCAACCATTTGAGTTCTCACTAAGATCTGTCTGCTATTCCTACTCAGGGTAATGGTTTCCAAATCCTCTCCCAGCGAAATTTTTWAAKTTCYGTCCTGACTTTCCTGMACCAGCCCTCTTGCCACCGTAGCCACTCTGTCTTCCTTGATTTCCTTGACCAGACACACAGTTCCCGGTTGATCCCGCCCACTATCCTTAACCCACCGGTTGATCCCGCCCACTATCCTTAACCCACTTCCCCTCATATGATTCCCAGTGTCTGTCTAGCAGCTCCTTCCAGTTCAGCGGGATGCTACCAATGATCTTTTCCAGTCTTCCTCCAACATACCTCATATGCTTGAGCTTAGGTTTTATTTCCAGTTCMGACCGCCAACAACCCGTATCTACATTCCAGATATCACTTATGCGTGAGACACCTTTTTGTATCCAAGAATCACYGAAGGCACCTGTCTCACTACCTGCGGACCATGGTGTACCATCTTCTGCGCATAGCCACCTGTTTTCAAAAATGTGTTGCTGCAAGACTTCTTCCGCAGAGGAAGGATGAGTGATCTGTTCTGGCATGACCTTAGCCCAAGCCTCCAGGATGTCTGCCCACACTGTGGATTTAATCCTTCTTTTGATAAACGACCTAGTYARAAGGCAGACCCCCACATCCTCCTTTCTGACCAGATTCCATTCTCTAGAGAGTATCATTAAGGCCAGGTCCAGCCATGGGTGGCCTGAGTTGTCTAGGAGGGCTTTTATGGGCCATCTGGCTAGGAGTGCATTTATCTGCTGCTCTGGACTTATGACCCCCAAACCCCCTGAGTCTTTCCCACCTATCACTTTCTCCCATGAAACTTTTGCTAGGTAGCCTAGATTCTCATCAARTACTCCCTTCCACAAATATCTCCTTGCTGYCTTGGTTATCMGGGAATATGCCATCTTTTYGASTGGCCTAATAGCGCCCGGGAACCAGCAGTTTGAAAAAACGCTTGTGTTGAGAACCAGGGCTCTTCCTTGAATAGAAATACCCGGGACTGATGCTATTCTTTCCAGCTTGGCRAGGGCTTTCCCTTCAATCAGATCACTAGCATGTTTCCTCACGTCCACCATTCCAACTTGAATCCCCAGGAATCTTTCACTCTCTTGATCCCCCAGGCATTTCAGACCCYAATCCACACATAGTTTTTGATCCTTGTGCACAATAGCCAYARATTTGGGCCAATTGACAAGAGCCTCARAGAAGAGAGAATATAGATCAAGACATTTTTTKARGGCTTCTAGGRAATCTGCGGAATTTAATGAAAGGGCAAACAGGTCATCCGCCATGGCTGATGCCTTGCATTGTCTGCCTGAGCCCAGGTTGATACCCTTAATCTCAAGATTCCCCCTGATTGCAGATAATAGAACTTCCATCTGGATTACAAAAAGGAGGGGGGCTAACGGACATCCTTGCCTAAGTGACCGTGACAATTTGAAAGTGTTGGAGATTTCTCCGTTAACCATCACCCCCCCAACCCCTTTCGTGTAGAGGGCTCTGAACCATCGGCATAAGATCTCCCCGAAGCCTGCAACGGTAAGGGTCCTAAGGACAAATTCCCAACTGACTCTGTCGTAGGCTTTCTCAAGATCTAGCAGCAAAGCGACTATTTCTGGCTGGTCGTCGTTCATGACCTCCAAGGCCTCAATTGTCAGCATTACGTTATTCAGTATATTTCTTCCTCTCGTGAAGCCCGCCTGTTCGACTCCAATGAGTCCTGGGAGGTATCTTTTAAGTCTTATTGTTATACACAACTCGAAGAGTGTGTGTGTGTGGGGTGCCGGTTGGTGCTTTATTCATGATGTTCATGGTACGCTGGACCTAGTTTCCAGCAGGTGGCGCTCCCCATCAATAGACAAGAGAATGTATATGTGTGTGTATGTGTGTGTATGTGAGTGTGTGTGTGTGTGTGTGTGTGTGTGTGTGAGAGAGAGAGAGAGAGAGAGAGAGAGTGAGAAAGAGAGAGAGAGCGTGTGTGCGTGTGCG